TCCCCCTTCCTAGCCGAAGCTCACTTTCTCTCTCTCTCTTTCTCTCTCTCTGTCACTCTAACTTTTCGACGGACTCTCGCGGCGCGATCGACACGCGACGCGCTGATAAGAATCTCTCCCGCGGATTCTGTTCTGTAATTCCGTTTTCACTCGGCCGTTCGTCTCGAATCCGAGACTCGAGTCCGTCCTGCTGCGCGCGTGCCGGTCGGAAAAACGTTTTTCCCCTCTCTCTCTCTCTCTCTCTCTCTTTCGCGCGCTACACCGTCCCGCACGTCAAGACGACACGCCGCGGAACGTGTCGCTTCACATAGACAGTCCTACGCAGCGGCCGTCGCGCGACTCGTATGATACTCCGACTGTACTGTCGGTTTATACCGAGCGACGGCTCGCGGATTCCTTCCGAGGTGATTTCCCGACGGGGGGGACGACGACGACGAGTTTATGGCGACACCGTCGACCGGCTCGCCGCGACGTCACGGAAGCATCTCGTCGACGGTGAGGCGAATCCCTGCGTGCGCACTTTCGTGCTCCATGACGGCGTTCCGTTCACGTTGACTTCGTCTCCGGACTCCGGAGACGATACGGGCAGATTTGCCCGCTGTCGCTGAGGTCAGAAAGCATCGTCCGTCCGCGAGGGAGCGACACTTGCTGGTCCGAGATCCGTCAGATCCGTCTGCTCTGCGTCACCGATATTATTAATAGTTATATAGTGTATACCGAGAAAATTTACTACATTTTAATATATACTTTTTTTCAATACTACTTGATATTTATTAGTAAATAAATATTTACTTAATAAAAACAAATGATTGTTAAATCAAATTAATGAATCTTATACCAAATGAATATAATGTTTACATTTAGTAAATATTTGATTACCCATGTAAAGGAAAATATATTAAAATGAATTAATATTTTAATTCATTTAAAATTTTACATTTAAAACTATTTGTGCTTTAATAACATTCATGGTCTATTTTTATTTTTTTAAATATTTAATTGGATTGAAAAATTACATTTTCTATTCAAAATTTTGAATTGAACAGTATTCACAATACACTTAGAAAAATGAGTTTTTTTTTTAGGATTGAAAGGCATGAAATGTGCTTCATGCAATTCCTATAAATGAATAAAAATGTTGGGATTGAAAAGGATTCATTTCAATGTTTGCAAATGTATTTCTAAAAATCCATTTCAATCTATTCTCGTTTACTGATAGTACTATTCGAACATTCAATATTTAAATATTTATTAAAATTTAATATATTTTTTCAGTGTACGAAAATATTGCCGAATAAAAACAACTTCGTAAATAATATAGAGTGTATTAAGTTTTAATGTATGTTTATAACTTTATTAAGTATAATATATAACTTTTTTACACAAATTTATCGCAAAGTAGTAATTAATTACTTATTTTTTTGTATATTAAAAGCATCGTTATCCAGCGTTTTTAAAACTTAAAATAAATAATTTTCGATATTAAATTATTCAGTATTAAATTTCCGAAAGAAAAGTTCAGTTATGTATTTCTAAAGTTCTTTACATACTTCTTTATATAGTATTAAAAGAAAGTCGTTTGCGAGCTTGCATTAACTTTCTTTCTCAGACTGCACAAAATTATTTATGATAAATGTTTATTAATATTCATTTTTTGAAATGTTATATAGATATTTTATATATATTTTATATAAAGCTTTATTCGAAATAT